CAGTGTCTTAATATCTTGAATTCTCTTCCTAGAACCCAAGTGTCTCCACGTTGGAAATTTAGACCACTGGTTCTCAATCCTGTCTGCACATTAGATTCACTTGGAGGGGTTTCTAAGCAAAAGCAATGCCTCTTCCCACTCACAGAGTTCTGATTCAAGTGGTTTGTAGTGGGGCCCTATTATCAGATTTTTAAAAACCATTTCCCCCTAGTAACTGTAATATACAGCCAAAGTTAAAAATCACTGACTTAGGTGAATGGCAATTTGTGTGTCTGTGCCTAGTTGCTCAGTGGTGTCTGACTCTTTGCGACCCCTCTGACAGTAGCCTGCCAGGCTCCTCTGTCCATGGGATTTTCCAGGAAAGAATACTGGAGTGGGTTGCCATTTCCTACTGCAGAGGGTCTTCCCCACCTAGGGTTTGAACCCGCGTCTCCTGCATTGGCAGGCAGAGTCTTTACCACTGAGCCACCTAGGAAGCCCTAATGTAAGTTACACTGTTACTATTAGGTAACTTGTTCAACGCATCTTTTAACATGGGCTGTCCCTGCTAACTCAGTATGACTAAAGTAAAATGTGTTTCCAAAAGCAATTTCCCCTCCTGATTTTTCTTTGTCAATTACACCTCCGTAAAGGAAAATATGGAAACCTCTTTGATTTGAGTTTTGAGGAATTTTCCCTTTGTTTTTAAATAAAAATCTTTTCAACCCAGTTATTTCAGAGTGGGTTATATATCTGCTTCTGTGTGCTGAGTCGCTCAGTCATGTCCAACTCTTTGTGACCCCATGGACTGTAGCCCACCAGGCTCTTCTGTCCATGGGGATTCTCCAGGCAAGAATACTGGAGTGGGTTGCCATGCCTTCCTCTAGAGGATCTTCCGACCCAGGGATCGAATCCAGCTCTCCTGCATTGCAGGGAGATTCTTTACCATCTGAGCCACCAGGGAAGCCCTATCTGCTTCTACTTTTGCAAAAAAAAATTGGAGGGGAATGGGTAGAAATGTTGATTAGACTAACAGAGTTGAAACCTGAGAATTAACCTAACCCCACTTTGACACATGAGAAAATCTAGGCCCAGACTGGTTGAGTGACTTGCCGAGTAACACAGAGGAAAACAAAATACATGGAGGAAGGATAAGGAAAGGTTTGCATGAAGTGTACTTATCTGGATTAGTGGCCAGGAATAGAACTCAGATCTTAGTTTTAGTTCATAGCTATTTTGACCACAAAAGGAAAACTGGTCAGCCTAAACTGGAAGGTGAAAGAAACAGAAAATTTTGTCCTCAAAACCTAACTCACTGTCCAGCCCACCATAAAAATTAAAGGTCATATACCATTATTCTCACTGTTATTCTGGATTCTTCTCCTCAAGTCCTAACCACACCATTACGTCTTGGCTTCTCTCTTACCCATCATTTGCCATTTTTGAGCACTGATTGCCCAAAGCTTTCTGGACCTTTTCTGCTCCCTTTATGCTGAATTAATTCTTTTATTGTTATTTTTTATTAATTTATTGGCAGAATTTTCCCCACATTTTTATAAGAGCTTTGGCTCTGATAGAAGTATTTATTATACATGTACTTTAACCCCAAAGGAAACCAGAAAAAAAGTAAACTGGAACAATAAATTAATTTTTAATTTACAGGGATATTAGGAGATGAAGTATGGTTAGAAAAAATTTCCTGAAGTAAAATAACCATGCTGCCATTCAATCCTTGCCATGAATGTGGTTTGTCAAAAAACCAAATTAAATCCATTTAAAATTTTTTTCTGTGCTATTTTAAACAAATATTTTTCCAAAATTTAAGCAAAAGGAAAAAGTCCATTCAAGGTAATAAATGTTAGAGTGCTTATTATTTGTAAGGCACTGCTGCCATGGGGCCTGAAAAGAATACTAAAATGAGTACACCCTTGCCTTTGGAAGAGAGATGTGTGTCATTTTGTCTTTCAAAAGTCTTTGCATAAACAAAACTCTGGAATCTGGGAGGGAATCACATAAATTTCCCCCCACTCTTGCCCCTGCATCACCAGCAGGTCATTTAAGTCACTCACACACTTAGAGTCACAAAATCCCTGCCCTGCTGGAATCTGTAATCTAGTGGCGGCAAGGGGGAGGGCAGGCAATAAGTGAACAAGTAAAGTATCTAAGTGTTATAGAGAAAAATAGGGCTTCCCTGGTGGCTCAGTGGTAAGAATCTGTCTGCAAGGCAGGAGACTGGGGTTTGATCCCTGGGTCGGGAAGATCCCCTGGAGGGGAGGGCATGGCAACCCGCTCCAGTATGCTTGCCTGGAGAATCCCCAAGGACAGAGGAGCCTGGTGGGCTACAGTCGGACATGACTGAAGTGACTTAGCAGCAGCAGCATAAAGAAAAATAAAGCCGAGAGGGGCTTAGAGAGGTTTTTGCGTGATGTGGTAGCAATATCAAATATGGTTGCCAGGGAGGGTCTCATCAGAACCAGACCAGAAGTAATGAGCTTGTTAGTAGAAGACTATAGAGATCATTTCTCCTGTGGATCTCACTTCTTGGTAGGGAAGCAAAGAAGAATCTAAGGTTTTACCTGTTGCAAGGAAGTTTATTAACCATAAGGAAAGAAAGACCAGGTGGCAAGGAATTGGATATGATTGAGCAACTTGAGCACAGCCAAAGGAGCGAACGACTCAAGAGAGAAGTGGGCCACACCAAGGAAGGCAAATGGCCCCAGAGGTCTGGAGTCGAGTCTTTAAGGCAGAGTCATTTGCACAATCCAGAGGGGGTCATTGATTGACAGTCTTGATTGACAGCTGCAGGTTATATAAAAAGATGCGCTATCATGCACGTCCCATAAAGGTCATAATTAAATGTATGCATTCATGGAATACTTATGAGCGGTTAAAGAGTCCAGTGGCTGCCAAAGGTTACTTTAGTACAGGATAGTGTGAGGTGAGCGCATGTGCCAGAGTAGGAAAGTCCCAGCAGTCTCTAGTGAGTTTTTTTAAATTTTTTACTGGGCCCCTCGTGTGGCAAGAGTGGTAAAGAACCTGCCTGACAATGCAGGAGATGTAAGTGACGCAGGTTCAATCCCTGGGTGGGGAGGATCCCCTGGAGGAGGGCATGGCAACCCACTCCAGTATTCTTGCCTGGAGAATCCCATGGATAAAGGAGCCTGGCGGGCTACAGTTCATGGGGTCACAAAGAATGGGACACGACTAAAGCTACTTAGGGTGCACTGACTAATTTCAGAGTAGTGGTGGGGGTGTAGAAGGGGCCAGGCTGGTAAATTGCTTGGTGAGATTAGGCGGCTATTGGACCGCTGATTGAGGGTGCAACAGGCTCGCTGGTGCCCAGCTAACTTCCTGACTATCAAGTTGAATGAAATAAAGGTGTTAGCCAAGAAGATGCCTGTGGCAGAATGCTCCAAGCAGATGGAAGAGCAAATATCAAGACACTCAGTTGGGATTGTGCCTGGACTGTTCAAAGATGAATTGGGGGCATAAAGATCATGTGGCTGGAATTGGCCGACTAGGGAGAGAGCAGCAGGAGAAAATTTAGAGAGCTAAGAAATGTAAAGACTTGGGGTTTTACTCTGATGAGAAGCCACTAGAGGATTTTGGTGAGCAGACGAGTGACATGATTTTTTTTCTTTAACCTAGAAATAATGTAATAAAAAGCTATGTGAAAAGGTGTGGTCAGAGTGATGGGAACCAGCAAAGGACAGCCAGGTATTACACATAGCAGAGGCCATTACCATTTAGGTGGATTATGACCAAGGATCAAACCAGTCCATCCTAAAGGAAATCAGTCCTGAATATTTATTGGAAGGACTGATGCTGAAGCTGAAACTCCAATACTTTGGCCACTTGATGCAAAGAATTGACTCATTGGAAAAGACCCTGATGTTGGGAAAGATTGAAAGCAGGAGGAGAAGGGGAGGACAGGGAATGAGATAGTTGGATAGCATCACCGACTGGCTGGACATGAGTTTGAGCAAGCTCCAGGAGTTGGTGATGGACAGGGAAGCCTGGCATGCTGCAGTTCATGGGGTCACAAAGAGTCAGAAACGACTGAGCAACTAAACTGAACTGACTCATGACCAAAGTTGATCATGGCAGAAGCAGAAACACAAAAAGTGACTACCATATCCAATAAATAGAGACCATAGTGGTGGAGAGACTAGTGAGAAATGATCGAATTCTGCGTACATTTTGTTGGTGGAGCCATCAGAGTTTGTTGAAGGACCAAACGTGATGGGATAGAAAGAACGAGGCCAAATTTCTGCCAGCTTTGATTGGTTCAGATTTGATTATCGCTTTTGTAAAAGGTGAAGATGTGTGTACGTCCTGATTCTACATTTTCCTCTCAGACTATTTAATCATAATCTCCAGTATCATGGCTTTGGAAACAATACGTTGGAAAGGTTCCCTAATGATTCTTCTTCAGCCCACCTGACTTCAGCTAAGGGTTGCTACCTGCTGGCTTAGATCTCACTTGAGTTACAGGAAAGAATCCCCTCCTTCGGGGCACAAATTAGGAGCACAGGACGGTGCAAGGTACGTAGGTGGTTGGGCTTGTGGAGGAAGAGATTCGCCTGAAGGCAGGAACACTGTTAAGACACCGTAAATGGCTTGAATTTAAGGCTTGGAAGGCTTCCTGGAGGAGCCGGGTTTTGACGATGGCTTTTAGAGAAAGGGGTAAGATTAATGGAAAAGATGATGGAGTGTAACTGAGGGGTGACAAGCGGTCCAGGTCAGACTCTTGGTGGAGGACCCCTGGGCTCGGGACTGGGTCCTTGAGTAGTAGCATCCCAAGCTCTCCACGAAAGCCACGCCCCTTTGGAAGGAGGACCGGCCCGTACCCGCCCCCCGCCCCCCGCGCCGCCGCCGCCGCCGCCGCCGCGGCTCCCTTGCGTGTTTCAGGAAGGTCCTCATATTAGGACGGACCAAACCGGATGAAGGTCGCGTGCCCTCTTCCGCTTGTGTTCGGGTTACTTATATCCGGCTTGGAAAGAGAGGCAAGCGGGCGCTGACCTTCCGCGCAGGCGCGGCCTGAGGTCCACGCGCGGCGTTATGTCTGCGCTGCACGTCTCGCGTGTCCGGGCCTTGTATCGGCGCATTTTGCTGCTGCACCGGGTTCTGCCCCCAGACCTCAAAGACCTTGGCGACCAGTACGTGAAGGACGAATTTAGGAGGCACAAGACCGCTGGTTCTAAAGAGGCCGAGCGATTCCTGCAGGAATGGGAGGCAAGTAACTCTGGTTTTCATCGCCCCAGACCTTTGGGGTCCCTCAGAGGTGTCCCGGTTTGTAGTTAGGCGAGACCGCCTGACCTGGCTGGTCTCCCGGGCCCCACGCAAGCTCGGACGGAGCGGCAGCCTGTTTCGTTTGAACTGAACAGCGCAGAGCCGTTTAAACAATACGTCCCAAAGTTACATCCCAAGCCGGTCTCTTTATCCCACGGGTCGTCGCCGCAGCACATCCCATACACCAGCGCGTCAAATTCAGTCGACTTTTGCCTGTCGCTGGAGGGGTGAGGATGGAGGTTACAAAATTGCCTAAGTCACCGTCAAGTTTTTAAAGAGCTTCCCGTTTGGCAGCCTTTTGCCCCCTCCAGTACCTTGCACTTAGCAAGCGCCTGTTGATCATAGTTTTCTCCTTGCTAGTTTTCACAATTTTAGAGGCTTGTTTCTGTAATCACCATTTAAAAAATCCCAGTGCTCTTTGTTGGATCTTAATATTCTCATATCATGACTGATAACAGAAATTGAAAAAGCCTGAGGTGTATTACAAGCGGTGGGCAAAAATGCTGGGCAGAGTTAAGTCAGGTGAAAGTTGGTTTCTTCGTAATCGTGTACTTGTTTCACGTAGTCACGTTACTTTTTTAATTTGCAGCATTGCACTAGATCTTAAGCAGACAGAGGCATTAGCTCCTTTGATTTCCCTTCCATTTTTTTGAGTGAAGTCAGAAGATATTCAGAGTATATATTTTTAAATAATTTTTTTGCCATGCTGGGTCTTCGTTGCTGCGCGGGTGTTTCTGTAGTTGTGGCCAGCGAGGGCTGCTCTCTCGTTGCAGTGCGTGGGCTTGAGTGCCGTGCCTTCTCTTGTTGGGGAGCTCGGGCTCTAGGCTCGCGGGCTTGGTAGTTGCCGGCAGGTGGGTTCAGTAGTTCCGGCTCCTGGGCTCCGGAGTGCAGGCTCAGTAGCTGTGGCCCACGGGCTTAAATGCGCCCTGGCATGTGGGATCTTACCCAGTCAGAGGTTGAACCGTGTCTCTTGTATTAGCCGGCGGATTCTTTACCACTGAGCCACCAGCGAAGCCCCCAGAGTATTTGGAGTATTTCGTGGGGTTGGGAGCCATGTAGGATTACCCCCAGATACGATTTGCAAATAAGGAAGGAGTCGAATTGACTATTAAAGGGACAGGTATTTGAAAGCAGGTAGAAGTGTTGGTTGAAGAACCGAGTTAAGCAATTTCTTACCCTAAAAATTGGATGACTGCAGAAACTACTGAAGGCTGTTTTTTGAAAAAATGCCAAAAGGGTGTACATTAGGGTGAACACAGAACTTTTTAACTGAGTCGCAAAATTTTTGGCTGTACAAGCCTCATTGATGCTTTCAAGAGGGACATTTAGGACGAGGGTGAAATGTAGAATTTGCCTAAAAATTATATGTATTAGATGTAATAAGGTCGCCTAGAGCCAGGGAAGTTGAATCTTTTTAAATGCAGACTACTTTCTTTTAATATGGTGACTTAATGTTGAAGTCAGAAGAACTAGATTCAAATTAAAGTACTGGCATTTATTAAATGTTATATCGCTTTTCCTAGTTTTATTATCTCATCTGCACAATAGTAACAGTATCTACAATATGCACCTCTAAATTAGGGCCTCCCAAGTGGCTCAGTGGTTAAAAAAAACAAAAAACAAAACCACCTGCCAGTGCAGGCAGTACATGAGAGATGAGCTGGATACCTGGGTGGGGAAGATCCCCTAGAGGAGGAAATGGCCACCCGCTCCAGTATTCTTGCCTGGAGAACGCTGTGGACAGAGGAGCCTGGCAGGCTACGGTACTTTGCGTTGCAAAGACTGGGACCCGACTGAGCACGCACTCAAACAGCTCTAAATTAGTGTATGTAAATATAAGTGACATCTTTTAAGCCAGATCAGTTTGTGGCAGGACCAGGAGTTTAGCTCTATGTTGGGAAGAAATAAGGGCATTTTGGGAGGTCCTAAAGCATAAAAACTGAGAAACATTTTAGGGAAAGAATAGGAACCCAGAATACCAATAGGCTGAAAGTGAAAGTTGCTTAGAAGTGTCCGACTCTTTGCGACCCCATGAACTATACAGTCTGTGGAGTTCTCCAGGCCAGTACACTGGAGTGGATAGCCTTTCCCTTCTCCAGCATATCTTCCCAACCCAGGGATTGAACCAGGGTCTCCTGCATTGTAGGTGGATTTTTTTTTTTTAAACCAACTGGGCTATCAGGGAAGCCCGATAATAGGCTAGAGACATTAATAAGAATAGACATTTTAAAAAAACTAAAGTAAAAAAAAAAAAAGCACTGTTGATCAACCCATTAGACTTGGTGTCAAGAATTCAGCTTTAAAAAAAAAATTTATTCCAGTGCTGTGTGGCATTTGGTCTCTGGGATTCTTTCACACACTTCTGAAATTACTTATGAACCGGAATTTGTTTTAAAGAGCGAAGTTGGGTGTGGGTACTACTGGAGAAGAAAAAGGGGAAGGATCAGGAATGCTAGAGGGGCTCAGTATTGGGAGGAGAGTTCTCTATTTCCTTCTCTGATCCCAGAAAACTGTTATAAATATTAGAGCGAGTTCAACTGGGCAAATTTCTGTTCACGGGCCATTTGAGGGATGGTAAGAGGAAAGTATTTCATTTTATCTTAAGGATAAAAATGTATATTTACAAATGCATATTTGTAAAGTAATGAATTTGTTAATTCCTTACCATAAAAGAAAAAATGTTAAGTTCAGGAAAATATGTTGGGATTCTATGGAGAATGATAACTGGTTAGTAAAATATCCATTGTAGTCCTACTCCCAAGTCTTTTAAGAGACAACTCTGTAAAGAGTGGAATTGGGGTTGGGTAGATCAGGTGGGGTTCTTATTATAGAACTTAAAAAATTCTAACTATGCTCGCTTTTGAAGAATAGCTGATTTAGGTAATACTTCCCATTTTTCTTTCTGTGCAGACCCAGTTGCAGAGAGAACAACTTTTTACCACTTATTTTCTTGGAAATCAGAATAAACACTGAACATTAAATAGCAATTATGACACGTTTGTGTTAGAATGTGAGACATTTCTCAGGAAAGGCTTTGAAAAGTGTATTTAATTTTTCATTTTTTAGGCCCCACTTACTGCTTTCTTGCCTGATTTCTGTTGTTTTCCTTAAGTAGCTGCTTTGTTCTGTGTCTCTGGCTAAGGCTTATAGTGAAAGTTTCTGGAAAAAGCAAAAATTCTTAAACATTCTTTAGTTATTGATCACTTAGTGCGAGGCAGAGTGCTAGCATTGTTGGACACAAAAATGAATAGTATATGTATTTCACTTTTATGGTATCCAAGTTTCAAGTTAATAGACGTTTATAGTACAGAAGGGTGTCTGTTAAAATGCTGTGGAACCAAAGAAGGAATGGAAGTTGAGGCCACATGAAATGTGTGAGAGGGCATTTGGGCAAGTCAGAGTTGCCCTGTCAAAAAAAAGACCCTGGGAAAGTGGAGATAACATGTGCAGAGGGATCGAGGCAAGAAACAGTGTGACTTTTTCCAGGGTCTGCAATGATCAGAATTTAGTGCCTCATATGGGAGCTTAGAAAGAGATTAAAGCTAAAGAGGTGACAAGGAACAGGATATTCTTCTAAGGATTTTAGGTCTTTATTTTGAGTCATTGGAAGATTGTAAGCAGTGGTGGTAAAAATGATTCAAATTATATTCTAGAAAGACCATTTCAACAGGAATAGAAAGGAATGATTGAAGAATTAAGCCAGATTGAAGGCAGGGAGAGCTTTTAGGAGAGGTGTAGTAAGTAATCCCAAATATGAGTTGGAAAAAAAAAGTTCGCTTGAGTTTTTCTGTAAGATTAAAAAAAAAGTTTTACAGAACTTTGTATAAACCCTAATATATATATATAATACATATTAATGTAACTATTATATATTTATATATAACATATAAATATTAATTTATGTCAAATATAAATATATAAATATTAATACATTTAAATATATAGTGTTTATATATTTATATAAGACATTAATTTATATTAATATAATATAAATGTTAATACAATATAATTTAATATATAATGTTTATATATATATATTAGATATATATATAAAATGTAACCAACAACCCTAATATATTTGTGTAACTGGACCAAGACAGAGCTGTTGAGGATGGAGAGTATGGATTCTTGTGTTCCCCTGTTTACAGTAGACTAGAACTTGAGTTTGTGACCAGTACAAGATTAGTTAGAGGGGAGGAAATAGAATGGATGACTCTTAAGGTTTGGAATATGATAGCAATAACCAGAATAGGGGTGTGTGTGTGTGTATACAGAGGGGGCAGTGTCAGATGACTTCATTATCATTCATTTTTGTGTTAAAAGTTCTGATGGGACAGTCAGGTGAAGATGTTCTGAAATACATATTCCTCTGATACTCAGGTGACAGATTGTGACTGGAGATAGAGAGGTAAAATTTATTACTTGTCATTGGTCGGTGGGCCAAGGATGTGAATGAAAGTGCCCAGACTGGGTGTAATGGGGAGGTAGTCAAACATAGACCACTAACCTTGAAGAGAATGAAGGTCGTAGTGTAGTGCTGGAATGTTCTCTGCTTCCCTTTTCCTGTATTCTGTTGTTCTTAGCTACTTCTGCAAAGCAGCATACTGTTTCCTTTCCTGATGATGTTTAAGTCTTTAGGTTTGTATGACAGTTCTTATTATAATATTTGCTTTTTTTTATTTTGTTGTACTCATTTCTGAGACAAGGAAATACTTCAGATTCATGTGATTGTCCATTTGTAACTCACATGAGATATCTTTTTCTTATTTATAACTTTAATTATCAGATTTAACAATGTATGATGAAGTTGCATGTCATCTGTGTTTAGAGTTTCTTTAATTTCATATAATTAGGGTTAGATGGGTATTTTGAAGTTTTTATAATTGTACAGCTCTCTTACCTAATTTGAAAACCTCTTTCTTTCTTTTTTTTTTTTTTGCTTT